ATAAGAATCAGGAATGGGGCTGTCTTTGACATACGGCCTCCCTCCCTAAGAACTGGCTGCTCCACCTCCTCTGTCTGGAGTCACAGAAGAGGGGAGAGAGGACCTGAGGGGCACCTGCTTCGTCCTTTCATGCAGAGGAATCAGGAGGGGCAAGCATATTTGCCTCTCACTTCTCAATGGCCAGGTATTAACCACAAAGCCACACCTAGCTGCAAGGGAGGCTGTGGATGAAGGCTTTGTCTGGACAGCCAGTGCCCTACCAAACACTACTCCGGAGAGACCAGATGTCCTAGCACAGCTTGCTACCTAAGATGATCGTGAGCTTGAATCCTTTTGTTTGCTAATGTCCTGAGAAAGCATTAATATATTTTCCAATGTTTAATTCCCTCACATTCCTTGGATCATTGCCATGTGGTCATACTTTGTACTATACTCTTGGATTCTACTCGTGAAAGCTTTATTTAGGATTTTTACATCTGTGTTTAGTTTTAAAATATTTTTAAGGCACAACATGGTGACACTTCACATTTATATGCTGCTTTGCAGTTTTAAAAATCATTTCACCTACATTTTCCTCACTTGAAAGCAGATGATAATCAGGAGCTGACTGTAAAAATAAACAGCAGATATTAAGTTTATAAATAGAAATGATCCACAAATGAAACACTGTAGTCTTTTCTTTTTATTGCCTAAATTCTAAGGGTTCTCAGTGAGACGAAAGTACTGATTAGGGAGGAGAGAGGATGTGGAAAATTGCAAAAGGATTTTTGACTACATAAACCCAGAAACGAATGTTACCACCCTCCAATAGGCACAAGGAGGCTGCAGTATAAATGCCAAGCCCTTGGCTGGCTATCCAGGCATTCTATTACTGTAAGGTTTCAAAACAGCCTGGTTTTGAATTTACAAGGTTTTCCTGATTACTAAGCATCCTCTGGCTTTCTGGACTTTTGTTTTGATTCCTTATCTGCATATCACCAATTAGAGTTGCCACGAAGCATGTCCTGGGAAACGGAAGCACTTGAGCACAGGATGCTCCGGCTGTCTGTCTGGCGGGTTATGTGTGTCCTGGCCACACAGTCTCTCCCAGGGCTGAAGAGCTTGTCCAGATTCACAGTCATTACATAACAGCCATCCCCCAGAAGTGAGCAGTGCCTTTGGGAGGAAAATCGATGGTAGGCTGACATAATTCTGCAAATAGAGGCACTCAATATTAGAGTAGACATCATGGGAAACAGAGAATTGCCCAAATAACAGGCTGCTCTGTAATTTCTGTCCCTGCCAAGCATACATGTTAGCTTCTCTTCCCTGAGGCCAGGAGTATCATAGATTAGATTAGACACTTAGGACAGAATTTAGCTTAGAGGAGAAACTGGACTGGTCTTTCACTGGTACTGTCTATCCCCCACTTCACCCCTGCTTCCTTCTCCCTCACACCCTCCCTCTCACTCCTTCAGGAGCAATTACCTACAATATAAGATCCTCCTTGGTTAACAATGGGGGCTACATCCCCATAATCCACTGTACGTCACAGCTGTCACATTGGAAGTACATTTAACACACAGCCAGCCAAACCCCGTAGCTTAGCCGCTGATTGTGTTGCTTTGCCTGGGACAAGATCAGTATTTAAATCTGAAGTACAGTTTCTAACTGGTGCTACAGTAAACAGACCAGTGCAGGTTCCTTTTGAATGAGTGTTTTTGTGTTCTTTGGGTAGATTCCTAGCAGTGGAATCACTGGGTCATAAGGTAGATCCGTTTTTAGTGTTTTGAGGAATATACGCTATGGAATACTACTCAGCGATCAAAAGAGATGATCTCATGCCACGTGTAGCAACATGGATGCAGCTGGAAGGGATGATGCTAAGTCAAATAAGTCAGAAAGAGAAAGATAAATATCAGATGGTTTCCCTTATAGAAGGAATATAGAGAAATGGAACAAAAGGTCAAGAAAAAAGACAATTTGCAGGCTCAACATAGCACCGAGGCAGACAGCAGGGGAGGGAGTCAAAACAGGGGAGGAAAGAGCACAAGGGACTGTGGTGATGGATCTCAGGTGCCGTGGCGGTGGGAGAACCATGGGAACTACACCTGAGGGGAGATACCAATTATTGTACAAAGATGAACAATTATATGAGAAAATTAATAAATTTAGAAATAAGTTGAAAAATCATAAAGCCAAGCTGTGGCATGTGGGACCGTCCATCCCTGGAGAGTCTGCAGGCTTCTCCCTGGCATGTAGCTGCACATTCCATTTCATCGAGGGCACAGCCTGCTTTTCCCCCACCTCTCAGCCCCCCAACCCCCACGCACAAGTCTCGTTTGTCAGCTTCCATCCTATGGAAGCCTTTTGCCCTGGGCCTGTGCCGTGATCAGACTGATCACCTTATTCATCCAGATCCGCCTCACTGTATCATTTTTGAACCCCCCTGAGCACCCCACTCTTAAATCACCATTCCTATTGGGATAAACGCACAGCCCAGTGTCTCCTCTTACCATGCACACAGAGAAAAGAGCCCACGTTGCCATGTAATTTTTTTTATTGGCACCCTGAAGTTCATAGTGCACACTGGAAATGAATGGGGGGAGGCCAGGTGAAGAGAACCGTGTTCAGTCTGTCTGTCCGCGTGGGTGTCTCAGACGGTGGAGGCACAGACACATGTGGTGTCACTAAGCCCTGAAGTTTAAAATAAGTGCATTAAAATAGTTTTATGTCACCTGACAGGAAGAGAAAATGTTTTCTCACATCCCTGAAAACAGATGATGAGTAATTGAAAATGTGGATAGCCAAACTGTGGTCCAAGCCTATTTATAAAATTTGGAGCTGGGTTTTGAAACAAGCAGCCTGGTTCCAGGGCCCAGCGCTACACTAGACCAGAGACTGTGGTCTCTGATGTATATGCAAATAATAAGAGGATTGTCTGGGGAAGGAGTTGGGGAGGAAGACTTAGGTTACCGGCCTGAATGGGTGAACCTTATAAAAACCAAGGCTAGATGCAAGGGTGTCTAGAATTTAAGGGGAAAATGAGTTGATCCTATCTGCCTCCTGTCTGCCCATCACATGACAAGACCTCTACAAACATTGTACTGATAACAAAAGACATTCAGGTTGCTTCAGACTGAAATGTGAAAAAGTAAAGCTGTAGAATTCTGAAAGCAATTTTTGAATATTTCTATCATCTTGGGCAGAGAAGAGCTTTCTAAACAGTACCAAAACTGGGAACCACAAAGGAATATATTAATAAATATTGATTACCAAGAAATGTAAGACTTGTGCAACTCCAAGCATAGAAAATCTTTTAAAATCCCAAGATCCCTGATCAGATAAAAAATCTAAGTCTAGGGGATTGAGAAGATATGCTTAAAATTTATAAAACAAGGGAGTAAATTAAGTGAAAAATTATATAAATATCTACAAAATAGCCACAGTGCCAGGATGAGCCTCACCAGGTCAGGTCAGTTCAGTCTACAAAGATCATATTTCTGTGCAGACAAAACCTGCCAGCAGCCTAAATCCCTCGCAGAAACCTCAGACCACACTCAGCCCATTAGCCAAAGTAAACATGAAAAGAGAGGCAGCCTCGGAATTGTCAATAAATTCTGTAAAGTTGAAATTGAAGCCATCGGGTTCAGTAATTCCCAGAAATAACAGCCGAATCTAAACACGATGTGGCTTTATGGGTTTACAGTAGGATCAATGTAAAGGTTGTAGGAGTTTTTAAAAATACAGAATTGACGTAGCACACACAGACCCTTTTGTGCGGGGTTAGCTTTTAAAGTATTTATTCAGCCTAAGTGAAATCCCATCAAGGAGTTTAGGATTGAAAACCTGCACAAAGATCAAGGTCCAGTGAAAGCCCGAAGTAACTTCTAAGAGACTGACAACAGCCCGAACAAATGTAACCCGCTTGTTCTACCTGCTGACCGACTCGGCATGGGCCACGGCCAGCTCTGAGCAGTGGCTGGAGCAGCGGTTAGTCTTGTCCGGGACCTACAACATGTTAACGGCATCCTCATTTGCTCCCTGCAGTGTGCAGGGACTCCTGGTAATGAGACATGTCCCCGTGGAAATGAGGCCCATGAGTTCTGCGGGCATGTATTTGAATTGGTGGGGGGCGGGGGATTTCCTGAGAACCCATCCCAGTGAGGCTGATGTTCTGTGCATGCAGCAGTCACGTAGGCGTGTCCAGTTGCTTCACTGGATCTTTGCCGAAACCACTGGCTGAGGCTCGGGGACTCCCCCCACGACGCTGTACTGGCCCCACAGCCTGTCACGAAGAATAGGACAGTGACCAGCTAACTCAGGCCCAAGGGACTCACCCTTTTCCCTTCAAACTGTCCAGCTGCAGGGGTGTCGTGGTGGGAATATTTGAGGGTGGAGGGAAAATAATTTTGGAATTGTCCGTCTGGCCTCCCTCGTCCCTTGCTCGGCCAGATGGTCCCCCACAGCTGAATACACCAAATCAGACTGAGCAGGAAATAGTTCTGAGAGCACTTTGTGTTGGCAAATCATGTGAGAGTCTTTAGGACGCCTTATTTTGGGCAGCTTTGGGTATTTGTTGTGGGAGAAAATCGCCATGGGAATGCTGGAGCTCTGTGATCGAATGTTCTCCGTGTCTGGGGGCCAGTGGGGAGAAGGAGGGTCCCCAGACAGAGGCCGTAAAACTCAGCATTCCACCCCTTTGCCCTGGGGAACAAAGGCCCTTTTCCCCTCCTCCGGGAGATCTTTGACATGTAACATATAACTGTCAACTGGACTAGTCGGGGAAGGGCCGCCCTGACCAGCCCTTGCTGGTTCCAGACCATGAGCTCGTTTTGGCTCCGTACTCAGAGCAGGACAGCAGCCTCGGTGGCTGGAGAGACGCCCCTGGGGTCAGACCTGGCTGCCGGGACCACTGTCAGTTGTCACGATGCCATCATCGTGGGGTTGGGGTTACTTTGTCCAGACCTTTTCCTGTGATGCCCCCTCTCACCTCGCCCCTACTGTCCCTCTCCGGACAGGTGTGGAGGACATCGTGGCCATAATGATTCCTGAGCTGAAAGGGCGGGAGATCGTCAGCCTCCTGGAGCGGAACCTCACCGTCACCATGTACATCACCATCGGCACCCGGAACCTGCAGAAATACGTGAGCCGCACGTCCGTGGTGTTCGTATCCATCTCCTTCATCGTCCTGATGATCATCTCCCTCGCCTGGCTGGTCTTTTATTACATCCAGAGGTTCCGCTATGCAAACGCCAGGGACAGGAACCAGGTAAGAAGCAAAACAGTGAAAAAGAAATTATCAAGAAAGTAAAACCTGTTGTCATAGAAACTTCGGAAAGCACAGACATTAGCAAGACAAAACCAGAGCCCCCAGGGGAACCCCCACTCAAGGTCAACACCATTAGTGTGTTTTCAGACCTTTTCCAAATGCCCGTGTTTTGATGGCTTACTGATGTTGTTCTGTAACACGGAGGTGCTTTGTCCCATATTCCTGCTGCTGAGGTTTTCAATGGTTATTTAATTAGGCACATGGTAAGAGGGGAAAGGGGAAGCGAGCTGAGATTATGTTAACGGTGGCAATATAATGTGGAAAGAGCCAGGATTTCCTCCTGTGAACAGAAGAAAAAGCAGAGTAATTGCTTTTTAAAATAACCTTTAAAAAATTGGAACAGGGCCTCCCCGGTGGCGCAGCGGTTGAGCGCTGGGCTACGAAGCTGCCCACAGCCTCTGCAGCACCGGTTCGACCCCCAGCCACTGGCGAGGGTCCCACATGGCGCGCAGACCTCTCCTGCCGCCCGCTGCTCCCCTCAGCAGTGTACTTCGGTCCTTCTGCCTGCTCTGCTCCCCGCTCTGGCTCTGGTGAATTCTCTCACCCTCCCGCACTTCTGACTGTACCCAGTGCTCGTATAAATAAATAAATAAATGTTTAAAAAAAAATGCACCCAAAAGGATCACATCTAAGCCTGGCTCAGAGAATATGGGACCAACTACTTCCCCATATCCAATTGATGTTACCAGGCATTGCAACAGGCTCTTCCCAGTCATGAGCTCCTGTGGTCTTTCTGGGTGAAATCTCCACTGAGGGCCTCCACGGTGGCGCAGCAGTTGAGCGCTGGGTTGCAAAGCTGCCCGCAGCCTCTGCAGCGCCAGTTCGATCCCCGGCTGCTCCCCGGCCACCAGAGGAGGGTCCCGCATGGCGCACAGACCTCTCCTGCCGCCCGCTGCTCCCCTCAGCAGTGTACTTCGGTCCTTCTGCCTGCTCTGCTCCCCGCTCTGGCTCTGGTGAATTCTCTCACCCTCCCGCGCTTCTGACTGTACCCAGTGCTTGTATAAATAAATAAATAAATAAATAAATAAATAAATAAATAAATCTTATAAAAATATTGGAACAGATAACATATTTACATGGCATAAAATGGTGCACAATGAAAAGTAATTCTCTTTCCATGTCTCTCCCTCTGTTATCAGGTCCTCGCCTGGAATATCTTCTCTTCCATGGTATTTTATGTGCTTACACACACACACACACATACATGCGCATATGCACATTTTTATACAGATGATAGCACACTTCACTCCATACCATTATTTTTCACTTCCTCTTGGAAATTCATTCATATCAGCACTCAACCAAGCTGCCTTTTCTCATTTCTACTGACTATTAGCAACTTATTTTCTATACAAGTAACATTAAACCAGCTTCTATCCATAGACATGTCTTCTCTTACCAAACACACAAAAAAATTTTTTAAATCCAAAAACATGTACTTGAGATGTTGAGCACATTGAAGAAGGTGTCTGTAAGGTACATTCTAGAGGTTTCGTAGCTAGGGAGAGGGTGTGTATATTTTAAACTATGATAGATTCTGCCAAGTTATCTGCCAAAAAGATTGCAGCAATTTATACATTTAATAACAACACACTAATAGTTTATACCAATATAGTTTATAGCTATAATAGCATCTGCTCTTTCCCCATATCCTCACCAGGAGTATATTACAGCTCTTAAATGCTGGGTATGACTTGATTTTGTAAGTCAAAAAATGGTCTCACATTTTTCTTGTTACACTAACACTGAACTTCTTTTCAAGTAAAATTAAAGCAGTGAATGTTTTCTAAATGCTTATAATATTTGACCACTTTTTAATTGAGTTGCTAGCTATCTTCTTATCGATCCATACAAACCCTTTATTAGTCAAAAACTTAGCCCTTTTTGTTTCTTACCCGCCCCCAACTTGTTATTGTCTTTGATTTATCTATGCGTGTTTGCTATGCAGAAATTGGGGAGTTACCAAGAAACTCAACTCAAACTGACAGTAGTAACTGCAAACTGAGGCCAGGATGACGTTTTAAGCTGGAATTACTTAAGTAATTATTTCAATCACTGATTTACCCTGTACAGGTAGATGTAGCTTGCAGGTCTGTCTAAGCATCTGCAAGGATAGAAGTGACGTTGTAGACAAAGCTGTAGCATGAGACCCAGTCTGTGTCTACTACCCCTTGGTATGTGTTCACTCTTTTAAAGAAAATAAACTTGAGAGTTATTTCCAAAAGGAACAAAAGTAGTGAAAGCAAATAGTAATTCTGTTTAAATGTTTGTCCTACTTAACTCAGCTTTCAAATGTTTGCTGCGAATACTCCCCTATTACAGAGCAGAAGGGCATGGACCTGAGGAGGAAACACAACACGTAGAAAACCCACAACAAACCCCTTCTCCTTGGCAGAGTCACCTGAACCCTCTCTAGCCCTGCCCCTCGTCCACTCTTCCTAACTGCCCTGGCTCTGTAGATACCAGGATTCATCAGGATAGTAATTTTGTGTATTAGAAAAATGAGTGTATCATGTTTTATGACAAGGACGGTGGCAGTTCCCCGGGTGTTTGCTTTATAACTATTTGTTACACTGACCACGTTTTATGTGTTTCTCTACATGCACTCACTTCACACAAACCCGAACACCAAGGGAGTGCAGCTGGCGTGTAAGAAAGATGGAACAGGATAGTACAGAGCAAATGTAAACCTAGCTTGGGCTAGAAAAACCCAGGCAATCGTTTAAACCTCCAAATTTCTTTAAATGTGCAGGCTATAAGAAAAAAAAAAAGAGAGATGATCATGAGAAAGAGATGACGCTTCTCCCAGCTGCTCCAGTGTGGCTGTCACCACCAACAGACAGAGCGGCTATAAGCAACACATGGCTAAGCCCCTCCTGTCTTTGCCAGTCTGTGCGGCCTTCGGCTGTGCTGGAGCTGCTGGGCAGGAGGTGCTTCTTGGTGACAAAGCTGTGGGCGAGGCCCCACTTTGCACAGAATCCCCCACATCGCGCCTCTAGGTGCCACTTGTGCACGGCTTCAGGGAGAGCTACCGGGATTTACTAAACACCAGCCGCAAGCGTATCAGGAATGCACGTCTATGTGGCTAACAAGCAGCTTTTGCTTTTTCAGCGTCGACTGGGAGATGCAGCCAAGAAAGCCATCAGCAAGCTCCAGGTCAGGACCATCAAGAGGGGCGACAAGGTAACAGCCTTTTCTCTCTGGTGAGGAGCTTGTTCCAGAAGCTCCCGACCCTCCTGGCCGCCAGGGTAGACCAGAGCGCGGGCTGGGGAAGGGAACCCATAGGATAGGCCTCTCAGGGTTGTTCCTGTACCCTGCTCCACTGAGTATGATTTCAGCCACTGATAAAATGTAGACAACAGAGCCGTTGGATTGAAAGCAGGAGAAACTGAAAAGTAACTGTAGGATAAACAGATGCAGCCAGAATAACGTTACTGTGCAGAAGAGTTACCTGAACTGTGTCCAGAATGGCTTCCTAGCAGTGCAAAGGACCATGTTCAGTCGTCAAGCAATATCGAGCTAAAACTTTAGCTTAATAAGCTAAAATTCATTTAAAAGCAATTCCAAATTTAGAGTACTTTTCTCATTACTTTTTCCCCTCAAACAGAGAGCGATGAAAGAATAAGAGCCGTGGGGCCTCCCTGGTGGCGCAGCGGTTGAGCGCTGGGTTGCGAAGCTGCCCGCAGCCTCTGCAGGGCCGGTTTGATCCCCGGCTGCTCCCCGGCCACCAGAGGAGGGTCCCACATGGCGCGCAGACCTCTCCTGCCGCCCGCTGCTCCCCTCAGCAGTGTCCTTCGGTCCTTCTGCCTGCTCTGCTCCCCGCTCTGGCTCTGGTGAATTCTCTCACCCTCCCGCGCTTCTGACTGTACCTAGTGTTTGTATGTATGTATGTATAAATCAATCAATCAATCAATAAATAAATAAATCTTTAAAAAAAAAAAAAGAATAAGAGCCGTGGCATAAGTAACATCTTATGGGTATTTAAAGAGATTTAGATAGTCACTTGAAAAAATGTTAGACCACTGTTGTAGAGCTGTATACATGCGCTCCTGTCAAATGGAAAGATTAAGTATCATTCAGACAAGTCTCCACAAATAGTGTTTCTCACCCTGGAGATCTTGATATGTCACTTCTAATTCTAATAAATAAATTCTAATAAATAGTGTTGGTAGTAATGGTGCATTAAATCATTGTTTCTTTACGGAAGCACTTTACAAAAGAAAGAAACAGAAAGAGTTTGGAAGGAGGGGAAACTCGGCCACTGTGCAGAAGATTCAGAACGCTGCACCAAGCATGGGGGGTTCGCTTCGGGCCGGCTCCCGCGGGCACGCTGGCGGGCAGGCTCACCTGCACGATCTCTGTTGCAGGAGACAGAGCCTGATTTCGACAACTGTGCCGTCTGCATCGAAGGCTACAAGCCCAATGATGTGGTCCGGATCCTGCCCTGCCGGTGAGTCACTCAGCCCGGTGTTGTTTTTATTTGTTTGTTATTTTATGGATCGTCAGCCGACACTGATTGTGATTCAGAAGTACAGGTCAGCACCTCCTCAATGGATGTCACAAGCCACACCCACCACCAGGACCCCCACAGGGCTCCCCCATGCCCCCCACCACCTCCCCTTCTGTGTTCTCAATTTTATAGTCAGATTTCTAGGGTTCGATATCGGTTTTGTTTGATATGACCCTTTGGTTTTCTCTCTGTATTCCACATATAAGCGAGGCCATTTGCCTTTCTCCTCTGACTTATTTCGCTTGGCATCATCCCCTCCAGCTCCACACACATGGCAGAAGTTCGCCTCCTGGCTGGGGTGTGCCTTTGGTCCTGAGCTGGCTCGGCCCTGCCTGGCCACACGGGCCAGAACAGCCTGCGTAGAGGGCTCTGGGCTTAACAGCAAACAACCTCAGGCCGCTCGTTTTGTATGACCCGTCTCCTAGGGAACATTTTATCTTGTGAAATTAGAATGATTTTTAAGACCCTCTTTGTACCAAAGGAAGCCTCCTGCCCCTGGGAGCCAGGACCCAGGATGCGGGATCCAATGAGGGGCCCGAGTTTTCCTCAACAGCAAATCTGAGAGAACAGAAGAATTCTTGATTTTACAAGTGCTATTTGCATGAAGATAATAAATTCCTAAAAATATTTTATGAAGGGTGAGCAGCCAGAAGATGGTCAGAAGAGGATGGGAAGGCAAAGGCAGATTCCACTTGCCTTGATTTTTCACTAACAGTCGCCTCAGATATTCTAGCATCGGGGAGAGGGTGCCAGCATTTGTAGCTGGAGCCATTCCCAGCTGATCATGGACTCCCCCCAACTGAAGCGCACCATTGAGTTTTCTGGATCCTCTTTATATAGTTAAAGTTATCTAAATCTGCATGTTTTGATAGTCAAATATTTTTAAGTTGCATCAAAGCTGTCCTCCTGAAGCCGAAAGTCGTTTTTTAGTGTTTTTGCACTTGTGCAAAGTCCTAAAAACACAAGTTAAATTATGCCTTGAAGGCACGGGTCTTCAGGTAGAGTAGCTTTCAAATTCTTAGAGTATTTAAGTAAAAAAAAGTAGAAAAAAATCGCACAGCTATCAAGCAACCCATACTTCCTTCCTGCACAAAACAACGCACTTGAACACCCACTAGAAATATAAAGAAATAAAGTAAGTCTTTAGAGGAATGGGTGTGATAATCCCCAAAATGACAAAAAAAAGACCCAAAAAATGTATATCATACTCAAATAGAGGCAGAAACGCGCCCAAGGTATGGGTGGTCCTTGAAATGCTCTGAGGAAAATGCATCCTTAGGGAAGGCCACAGATGCTTGACCTTGCTCAGCCTGTCACAAATCTGGACACTCCGGGAAAGATCTGGGCGTGTCCTCACATGAGCCACTCCAAGCAAGTTCTCTCTCCACGTGACACTAGGCCTGTCCTTGGTGATTTCTAGAGACACTGGCCCAAAATGTAGACAACAGAAGCCTTACAGGGCCTGGTCTCCATCCCTGGTCCTTTTACTAAGGGTTCTCCAAGCCTCATAATGACAAGCTTGCGTGAGCTCCTTACTTGGCTGCTTGGCGATTGTTAGCGGCCATGAGGCTGCTGAGAATAAAAAATACCCAAGGCCTTGTCCTGGGGCGCCGAAGAACTTTACAAACATAATCAGAACAATACATAACATGACTTAGCTCTGTAATAGACCGTATAAAATAGCTTGTTAGGTGAGGCTCGGTCGTGAGGCTCCTCCTCTGTCACCTAGGGGTGGCGCACTGTGGCGGCCACATAGCCCCAACATTTATCAGCCCACCCCACCCCACTGCAAGCAGTACTGGCTGATTTCAGTGTCTGATGATGATATCTCACATAACTTGAGCAGTATTTTGACTTTCAGGATATATTATTATTATTCCGGGTTGCTTTCACAATATCATTTGGGGGAATTATTCATCACAAGAAAATAGCATTTTAATACTTGGCATTAAAAAAAAAAAGCCTCTAGGCACCCTCATCATATTGATGCTACAGCCCATGCCCAGCTCAGCGTGGTCTCAGGCTCTGCTTTGTGCGTCGGTATTTGGTTTTCAGCGCTGTCTTGATTCTGCTTGCTTTCAGCTCCTTCCTGTCCATCTGTTTTTATTTCTTTTTTGTGGGCCTTGCCTTTGATAACAAAATAGACAGCGCATTCCTGAGCACGACAGCTAATTACTGTGTGATCTTGGGCTGGCCACCCCGAGGAGCACACACATTTTTTCCATACTGATTTACAAACCAAGTTACTTGCACGCATGCCCCTTGCTGGTTTCTGCCGGACTGTGTGGACTAATGCCATGTTACCAAACAAGTGCCCTGGCCTTCGCGTTTTGCTGAATGCCTCCCTTGGGCATGTTATTAAGCCTTTGCTCCTGTGAGCACCAGACTTTCTTTCCCATTATTTCCAGGCCGACTCATAGAATTCTTCCTGGCTCCTTGGAGTAAAAGCTGTGACCAAAACTGTGCCCCTAGCTGTCTTCCTCCTCCTCTTCCCTGTGGTCTCTGAACCCCACATGGCTTGCCGCTCCTCTGTTGGTGTCACCCAGGGAGTTAGTTCTGTGACCTATTAAAAATTACTCTCATTTTAGCTCTTTTGTCGATGCTTGGCCAAACTCAGATGACATGGGAAATGCCTTACCCTCATGCTGTGTCGCCATGGAGATCACTAAGTTTAGTCCTGCACAGTCACACCCACCAGCCTCCCTGTCCCCTGGAGTGTGGGTCAGGCCCCCTGGGGAGAGCTGGAGGCCCCAGCTCAGGCAGCACACACAGCCCACAGGGCCAGGCAGCTCTTAGTTTTGGTTTAGATTTGCTCTTAATACACCACCACAGTGTTTTCCAAGGAGCTTTGGGGTTCCTGCAGCGTAGGTATGTTGAAACATACTTTCCGTCTATGTCAGGGCTGGTTTTTGGTGACTCTGTCAGTATTCTTGAGTGTGCATTTTAGCCACCCGATGCCTGGTGGAGGTTGTATTGTCTTGTCTGGAGAATAAGCTGGGTGCCTTGACTCTCCAGGGCTTTCTGCCTGTGTTGTCTCTGCTCTTCTCCATTTTAACCACCCGATTTCAGACACTGGCTGGGAAGGACGGGACCTGTGTGGGCAGAGCAGAAGTCCTTGGTGCCTTTTCTAAGAACAAAGATGTGTGTCTGTCTCTCTGTGCAGACTATGACATGCTTCCTTCTGACTTACCACGATAACATCACCACCAGTTTGCAGGGATGAGAGCTGCTCCTGTACTGTCTTTTCCTTTGATTTTGCAAAGTCTCCTCCACACTTTTACAAAAAAATTGAAGATCTCCCTTGTAACATGCAGATGCAGGCCATAAACTTTCTAGTCCCTGACCCTGCCTGCCTCGTTGGCAGCCACAAACACCTGCAGCAAATGTATGTCAAGAAGAGTATGACGTGTCAGAGAGGTGAACCTCGCTCTGAAGGAATCTGTCCAGTGGGGAGGGACAGGACTTGAGATAAGCAATTGCCACAGAAGTGATATGCACAACAGTAATAGCAAAATGGACAAAAATTCAGGGGGACTAATATCACACTCAAGGAAGTTCATAAAGGCTCCAGAGAAAGGGGAATGTCTTCGTATTTTCTAGCAATGGTCCATCTTGCCCAGTACATCCTTGTTGGAGGAAATGTGTAATATGGATTTCACCTGCCTTGCTCCCTCGAAGAGGTAACAACTGTGAACATTTTAATCTCGTGCCTTTGATTCCCTATGCCTGTTCCGGAGTGGTTGCGATGCTGATGTCAACATCATTTAACAGCCTTCTCTTTGCACTTAAGATTACAGGAATTTGCAAGAATTTGCTCAACATGGTCCTAGATCACTTGTGACTTACGTTGACATTCCTTTGGCCTCAGACTCCCTCTTGGCAGCAGCTGATGAAGTTCTAAGTTGAATAGATCAACCAGACTATGTGGGCGGGGGTGCTTTTGTAGAACCTGCTCCTCTAAAGTCAGGGTCTTTTCAGGAGCCAAGAAGAGTTTTCCACTAAGGTAGAACAGGAACGTGCCTGGTTCCTTTCTGCTTTTTTCTTCAGATCCTGTTGAGGACCTGCGGGCACATCATCACCACACATATACCTACTCTCTCTGTCCACCCCTCTCTTCCCCTGTCCCTCCCTCCCCATCCACACCTCTCCCCCACACTGGGGAAGACAGAAATTCTGCTTTCTGAACCCAGAGCACCATCGGGTTGTATCCCAGTGGCCCAGAGAGGTCAGAGTCCTGCTGGCTTACCATTGTCCAGGTGGGATTGCAAATAAAATCCTCTAAGACTCCAGTTGTTACCTTTGGTAGATGCACCCCAACTTTTAACTTGTTCATAAGCAAAATTCTCCAGATTTTTTTTTTGTATGTTTGATAGGATCTTAAGAACCAAACTACCCAGGGCCAAAGAGGATTTTTCTACCCTCCTTCCTCCTATTTTGCTTTCTTCTTTTACATTAATGACATCCTTTTTGTACATCTGCATTTTCTAAGTCACCTTAAGTCCTTTCTAGAACAAACATTTCCATGTCTTTAAAACTTTGTCAACATCATTTTTAATTGGTCGATAATAGCCCATATTATTTCACTATTTTCACTATTTTTATGGCGGTGAGAGGGTGGGGTGCAGCCTCCCTGACCATGGCCTGTCTGGGCCTGCCCCGAAGCCTGCTTGCTCGGCCTCTCCGTGTCCTGTTCTCACTGGCTGTGTCCCACCATCCCACCTGGCCAGTTGCCGCCTCCCTGCTCCTCCTGACCCTCCAGCGTGGCCCCCATATCACGACACTTCCATGCACCCGAGGGTCCCCACATTTGAGCTCCACACTCTCTCGTGATCCTCCCTCTTGGGTCGGGGAAGTGCTCTCCTTCACTCTCCCCGCCAGATGCAACATGAGATAAGAATTAGAACTTGATTTTAAAAAACGTTGCTGTAATATTTGGAAAC